TGGCACTAACTAGCACTTCCAATATTTTCTGATTACTGGCCAAGATTTTCTGAACCACATTCTTTGGGATGCTTCTGGCTACTATGCAACTTATACTGTAAAATCCAATGTGATACTCTTTCTCTGTATGCTTTTACTTGGTCCAGCATTAAAATGGTTAGACTTTCATTTTTTTCAGCCATTATGGGCTATAGCTATTTGTTAAAATGCTACATAAATAACAATAAGGCAAATGTGTCCATGGCAAACACTATCCCCACAGATTCATATTTTAGAATGCTTATTCACTGAGAACTTACGAGTCTTCCATACAAGATTTTACTGGTTAAGAGTAGCAAATATATTTTAGAGTAAGAATCTAAAAGAAAGGGTACTTTAACAAATGTACTAGCTAAACCTCCAATTTCATATTGCGGAGATGGTTGCTTGATTCCAAATGTCCCTCCTGTCTCCCCCAGTTCCATAAAATCAATAAGGAGTCAAAGAAAACTACATAAGACTCATGCCCTTTGAGGCCTTCCAGTGACAAAGAACACCACAAATGATGTGTAAGCAGAGAAAACAGATTAACAGAACACTTGCTACTGAATGTCGATGCTGTGGGGTAAAGGGTAGTTCTTAAAATATCCTATTACAAAGAGAAGCAGAGGACATAGATGAAGCCCAGATGTAATCCAGTCAGGAAGATAAAACTGCAATAAATTCCAAAATACTTAACATCGTTTGGAATTTGGTAGTTTATAAGTGAGGCAGGGTTTGCAATGTAAGACAAGAAGTGAGAAATTGGAAAAAAAGATTTTCTCTGTAGGAGAAGCATGTAAGAAAGGAGTGTTGCATCTTATCGATGTGAGTGTAAAAGCCAATAAATAATTTGGAGGACTTAAGAATCCTAAAGTCAAAAAAAAAAAAAAGAATCCTAAAGTCATAAAAGAGAAAAAAAGGTGTTCCTTTTCCTTCCCCAGCTCCATACCAGCACCTCCATAAAGGAAACTGCACAGAACAGGGCAGATCTGACAGAAGAGGAAGCTCTCTGACTGGGAATCTCAGCCATCAAATAAATCATTGCTTTTTAAAGAAGACTACATTTCTATAAAACCTCTTTTTAACAGTTCAAGAATGTGAATAGGATACTCTCTACCTAAGAACAGCCTTGCACCTAAAAGAGAAAACAACCACAAAGCTGAAGAAAACTGTCGCATAGCACTGCACATTAATTCAGATATCCTCATAGAGTCATAAAAAGAACAGAGCTGCAAAATCTAAAAGAAAGGCAGAAATCAACCAGGAGTTGCTCAAACTCGGGAAAGTAATAGAATGCTAAAAGTAAAGTGATGAACAGCGATTTCTGAGGCAAGTAGAAACAATAAGTAAGTATACGGTAGGTTGCAATCCCGATACTAGTCAAACAAGTGTACCTATAGAGAATTAAACAGAGGGAGGAAAGACACTTGATAATGTTAAAATTTATTACTACCATGCAGGTTAAAATGTTAGGAATCTATCCAGTAGATAACAGTGGCTATTTGTACAATAAAAAAAAAAGATGAGATGCATGAAAAAGCAGATAGTAGCACATTCATAAATATCCAAAAGAACTAAAAACAGATACTCAAACAAATACTTATACACAAACATTATTCACTTGTACACTGAAAAGAAGCACTACTCACAGTTGACAAAAGGTAGAAACATACTGAATGTTCATCAATGGATGGATAAAGTGTGCCATATCCACACAATGGAATATCATTCAGTCATAAAAAGGAATGAAGTACTGATAGATGCTAGTATATGAATGAACCTTAGAAAACATTACGTTTCTGAGAAAGATACCAAAAGGTTAAATACAACAGGGTGGGGAAAAAGTAGGTTTACAGTTGTTCATATGGAAAATAAATACAATAATAAAAAATAATAATACAAGAAAAACTCTGTTTCACGTACTCCCAAGTGTGGACCTACTTTTGCCCCATGCTATACAGCATGATTCTGTTTCTATGAAATACTAAGAGGCCTGGTGCACAAAATTTGTGCACTTGGGGGCGGGATCCCTCAGCCTAGCCTGCACCCTCTCACAGTCTGGGAGCCCTTGGGGAATGTCCAACTGCCGGCTTAAGCCTGCTCCCTAAGCCTGTAGTCGGACATCCTTAGCACTCCTGCCACTGCTGCTGTGCTAGCCAGCCATAGCCCTGCTTCTGGCTGAGTGGCACTCCCCCTGTGGGAGGGCACTGACCACCAGGGGGCAGTTTCTGTGTTGAGTGTCTGCCCACTGGTGGTCAGTGTGCATCATAGTGACCAGTCATTTTGCCATTCGGTCCATTTACAGATTAGCCTTTTATTATATAGGACTAGAGGCCCAGTGCACAAAAATTTGTGCACTTGGGGGGGGGGGTCCCCTCAGCCCGGCCTGTGCCCTCTTGCAGTATGGGACCCCTCAGGGGATGACCACCTGCTGGCTTAGGCCCGCTCCCTGGGGGACTGGGCCTAAGCTGGCAGTCAGACATCCCTCTGGCAGCTGGGAGCCCTCGGGGGATGTCCACTTGCCAGTGGGGAGCAGGCCTAAGCTGCAGTCAGACATCCTTAGCGTTGCTGAGAAGGCAGGAGAGGCTCCCACCACCACCGCTGTACTGGCAGCCATCAGCCTGGCTTGTGGCTGAGCAGAGCTCACCCTGTGGGAGCACACTGACCACCAGGGGGCAGCTCCTGCATTGAGAGTCTCAGTCATTCTGCTGTTAGGGTCAATTTCCATATTACCATTTTATTATATAGGATAAGTCCTGGTGCATGGGTGGGGGCCAGCAGATTTGCCCTGAAGAGTGTCCCGGATCAGAGTGGGGGTCCCGCTGGGGTGTCTGGTGGGCCTGGGTGAGGGGCTGATGGCTGTTTGCAGGCTGTCCAAGACCCCAGTGGGGAACTTCACCCCATGAGGGTATGGCCAGCCTGGGTGAGTGGCTGATGGCTATTTGCAGGCTGGCCAACCCCCCCAGTGGGACCCTCATCCCATGAGGGTGTGGCTATCCAGGGTGAGGGGCTGATGGCTGTTTGCAGGCTGGCCACAGCCCCCAGCCACCCAATCTCCCAGTGGAGGCTGGCTGGAAGCAGGTATCTGGGATTTATTTATCTTCTATAATTGAAACTTTGTTGCCTTGAGCAGAGGCCACAACCAGCCAGGGCAGGTGGGAAGCTTGGCTTCCTCCATTGCCAGGGAAACCAAGCCTCCTGCTTGCTCCAGCTCCATTGCTGTCAGCTGCCATCTTGGTTGGGTTAATTTGCATATAGTCACTCTGATTGGCTGGTGGGCATGGCTTGGGGGCGTAGCGGAGGTGTGGTCAGTTTGCCCGTTTCTCTTTTATTAGATTAGATTCTGAATAGGTAAATTCAGTTACAGAAAACAAATTACTGGTTGCCAGGAAGGAAGGGAGAATGAAGAGTACTGCTTATTGGGGTTTTATTGGGGATAATAAACACATTTTGAACTAGAAAAAGTGATGATTTTAACAGTCTACTCTCAATACAAGACAGAAAATTTGGACAAAAATAAGTTATGTTATAAATAATCTTAGTAATATTTTCAGTGAGGTAGATATTCTGGACATACAGAGTATATTGACCAGTATATATTGATAATAAGAAATATACCTCCTTTTCAAATGCACCTGAAGCATCTACAAACATTATTCAATAGATATATTGATCTTTATTTATTTATATATTTACATACAATTAATATTTACATATAATATGAAACTCAAGAAAAGTAAAAATATGTGGATAGTTTAACTGAATAAAGTATATATATACTATAGGTTAATGTGTGTGTGTGTGTGTGTGTGTGTGTGTGTGTGTGTGTATGTGCATTCTAAAGCCAGTGTTCTACTTTGTAAAAAATCCTTGAGCTATTGCATTAGAGTAAGAAAATGGCATTGATGCTAATTATCTCCACTCCTCATTAATATTGTTCTGGTCATGTTCACCAATGTAACTAGGCTAGAAAAAAAATATATAAATGGAATAAATACTTTTTATTTCCACAAGGCATGATAATGTATGAAAATAATATGAGAGCCAGTGATAAACCCAGCTCAAATAATAAGTCACTTAGCAAATTAACGGGTTGTGAAATTAATATACTATAATAAATAGCTTTATTTTACAGAAATAAAACCAATTAGAAGACAATGGATGAAAGCCTTATTTGTATAATAGTAAATATAATAATATATTTAGGAACAAATACAAAAAATAATTCCACCAATACACAAGGGATAATAAAAACTGAACAAAAGATTTTGAAATATATTTTTTAATGTTTTTCTTTATTGATTAAGATATTACAAATGTGTCCCCCAATGTCCCCTCATCCTCCCAATCCTGCCCTCACCCTCACCCCCTGTTGTCCACATCCATTGCTTATGCTTATATGCATGCGTAAAGAATAAGCTCTGTGTTTTGCATACTCACAACTGAAAGCCTGTTTTTGCCACATCCTGTGTATGGGAGACAGATACATTTATTTCAGTGTGATGGTTTCACAACTTTGTCTGTATGCCAAAACTTTACCCATATGTTCATTCCTGGCTTAGGAAATGTGCAAATGCTATTTCCTTTGCTTACCAAGCTTTCCCCATTACTCCACTCTCTAGTTAACACCTAGTCACCTTTCCAAGCTAAGCTTGTAGGTAAGACAGATACTTTTATTTCCATTGAAAATTTAAATGACACATGATGCTATAAAACAAAGGAAATATAATAGACTGTAATAAATTGTGCACATCCATTAGCAGCATTTTGATGTACTATTGTAGCCAAACAGTTGATAAGATACATTGCAGAAAACTTAAAAGGGGGTATTGGCGAAAGTGAATTACTTTCCTAATTTAAAAAAATCTGTATTTTTTAAGTTTTAAAATCCAAGAATTGAGTGAACCATATTGATCATTACTGAAAACATACCAGGTATTTTGATGCTCCTAAAGTTCAGACTGATAAAAGGCCCTGAATCTGGTGATGTTTTTAGATAGAAGGGCTTCCTGTGTGGTTGCATCGTGAGAACACTTATTTTCAGACTCTGTTCTCACTTATTATTTCGTGTATAGGACAAAAAAAGGCATTATACTATGTATTTATTGTCTTCTCTTTATATTCTGGGTTGGATTTTATACCAAGGGTCATCAAGTATTCTTATATTCAGACTTCTTCCCAAGAATTATAATCTTCTTCCCAGGAAAATACGCATTCTGCAAAGATCCTCGCATCTTCTTCTAAAAAACAGGTACTTTTCATAATATTAATGTATTTTATTTTTTATATATTATTATAAAAATTATTAAATAAAATTTGATCAAAATAATTTTAATAGAACATGGAGAGTGATATATATCAATAAGAAGGTACATATTCAGATAGATGAAAGATCTATAGATGGATTGATAAGGAAACAGATGGTAGGAAGGCAGATTAGAACAGACTTAAATATATTTTCTTGATTACTATAACCATTCTAAATAAGATCATTAGAAACACTTGAAAGGAAATTCTTAATTCTATATAGAAAGATATTTAAAGAAAATAAGGAAATACAAAATTCAACCGGAAAGAAGTTCAGAAAACTTACTGTTAGATTTGTACATTCAATAGTACATGGAATAGCCATAGACTATTTAGGTACTGAAACATATGCAAAGCTTTCTTTAAAATTTTAAGATTCCTTTTTAGATTGAATGTATTTGATGTATAAAATATTCAGTTTGGCATCAAAGTCAAGTTGTTGGAATTATAAAGTGCATAAATGAACCTAACAAATAATGGCATTAATAACAAAATTATTAAGACGTGACTTCTGCAATCATAGTGTGTCCTAGTGAGGAAATAGCAGCAAAAACAAAACAAAAGATGATAATGGGTTTAAAGAAAAGTGTTATAAACGAGAGTTCATAGGAAGACGTGATAAATTCTTACTGAAAGATCTGAAAAATTTTCTTGACAGAGGTAGAATTTAAGTCATATTTTAAATAATTACCTGATGATAATGGAGGAATACAGGCAGAAGTATGATGGTCCGTAAGTGAAATTGGGAGATTTTCTATAGCCTGGCTTAAAAAAATATTTTATCCATTATGTAATGACAAGAATTAATTTAACATATGTCATCAATTTGTAAGTTTGTAATTTGTAATTTAAGAAAAATATTTAAGTTGAATGTAATAAAAGATGCTATGCCCTAACAATTTGTTCTAAATCGTTTGTGCACTTTAATGATCATCTATTCTTAAAAATATTCTCTACATTAAAAGAAACTCCAAATTATTTATTAGGTTTAACTGTAATCCAGATAACATCTTTATGAACCATGTATTTTAGTTATGGAACTTCTATGGCCAAGGAAGTCATAAGAAAGCTTTCCTGTTATCTTCCATATGTTTATGATTTTCAGAGATGGGAGAAGCCGTGACTTACTCTGAGGTGCGAGTTCATCCTTCATCTCAGGAGCGGAGGAGGGCACCTGACTACTCTGAAAACAAAAGGATCGTGAGTTCTGAACATCGAGGTGTGTAGCTTTCTCACTTTTATTTTATTGTTTTACGTGATACTTAAAAACAGTGTCTGATATATGTCTGAAAGTAGACGTGACAAATGCAAAAATTTGCACACAAATGAAACTATAACCTCCTCAATCTTTGACTGTGGATTATGGCCAATATATAATACACTGTCCAACAGGACCTTTGCTCTGGATTAAAGAAATGCATTTCAAATGAGCAAAAACATTTTGTACAAGGTTATTTAATTTACCATATCTAATCTTGTCAAGATAAACATTCACAATACAAAATATTTAAGAAATAAAGAAAATTAATCATTGATTCATACCTTCTATGAATTTGTGGTTACTTAATTTTAAAAATTCTACCTTCCAGAGAAAGACAAATACCGTATGATTTCACTTACATGTGGACTCTAAAGAACAAAATAAATGAACAAACAAAATAGAAATAGACTCATAGATACAGAAAACATACTGATGGTTGACAGAGGGGAAGGAGGCTGGGGGACTGGATGACAAAGGAGAAGGGATTGAAAAGTACAAATTGGTAGTTAAAAAATGGTCACAGGGTTGCAAAGTACATCATACGGAATACAGTCCATAATATTGTAATAACTGTGTATGGTGTCAGGTACTTGAAATATCAGTGGGACCACTTTGTAAAGTATGTGATTGTCTAACAACCATGCTGTAAACCTGAACTACTCTAAATAATACTGAATGTCAATTGTAATTGAAGAATAAAGAAAAATTACATCTGCCATTATCAAATACATAAAATATATTTAAAATATTTTTATTGATTTCAGAGAGGAAGGGAAATGCAGAGAGATAGAAGCATCAATGATGAGAGAGAATCATTGATCGGCTGCCTCCTGATTGCTCCACACTGGGGATTGAGCCTGTAACCTGGGCATGTGCCCTGACTGGGTATTAAACCCATGACCTCCTGGTTCATAGGTTGATGCTCAACCACTGGACAATCTCGGCTGAGCATAAAATATATTTTCACTCTATATTTTACCATTAGTTTGTTTCTATTTTATCACTACATTTTATTTTCATTCTTTATTAGCCATGTATGACATGTGTGAGGGGCAATAGTGTCAACTGAATGTTGTTTGTTTCCATATTTTAACTTATATAAATAGTACAATGATGCATATTTAAACTTTTGATGCAATCACCCTTTTGGATATCTAATTCTTTAGATTTTCACTGGTGTAAATAACTAAATGTCTGAATAATTTTATGCTTAGTGCAGATAAATTAATTAAAATGAATTATTTAAACTTTTAATCTCTGTATACTGCTTTCATGTTTTATAAGCTTTAAGTACCACATGTAAAAACTGGAGTATGGCCCTAGCTGATTTGGCTCATGGATAGAGCATTGGCCTGGTTCGATTCTGGTCAAGGGCAGATGCCCAAGTTGCAGGCTCGATTCCCAGTAATGGGTGTGCAAGTGGCAGCCCATCACTGATTCTCTCTCATCATTGGTGTTTCTAAATCTCTCTCCCTCTCCCTTCCCCTCTAAAAGTAATAAAAATACATGAAAAAAAGCACCCCACAACTGGAGTATGCTTTTTCTCAAGATACGTGAGATTGAAAACCTATCAAGGTCTCAAGTATATTAAGGTTGAAGATGACTATGGTCTCACATTCCTGCTTGCTACTTCTTCTGTGATGGAATTGATGGCTGCAATTAATATGCAGTACAATTTTTTGATGTTTTTACTTTTTTATTGAGCTACTAGAAGCCGAGTGCATGAAATTTGTGTGCTCCGGGGGTGGGGGAGCGGGGCGCATAGTCCCTCAGCCTGGCCTGTGCCCTCTCCCAGTGCAGGAGCCCCACCATTGATCACCCCAAAGAGGCATGCTCTGCCCACCCATCCGGGGCTCCTTGATGGATTGCCCCGAAGAGGTAGGCTGGAGCTGGGGGTCCCACCTCTGCGCTGCGCAGAGCTGCAAGACTCCTGGCCGCACTGCAGGGAGCCACGGGACCTGCCTCTGTGTCGCGCACACAGCATCAAGCCCCCCTCCACCCTTGTGCGCACGCAGCCCTGACCAACAGTGCACACCTGCTGCTCACGCAGCCTCCTGGTGTTCGCTCATTTCTGCGAGGGCATCATTGCAAGAGGGCGTGACAACCACATAGGCTTTTATTAGTATAGATAAAGGACACATAATTAGTTTCATGTGTACAACATAGTGATTTGATGTTGTATATATTGCAAAATGATCACCACAGTAACTCTAGTTCAGTTGTTCTCAACCTGTGGGTCGCGACCCCTTTGGAGGTCGAACGACCCTTTCACAGGGGTCGCCTAAGACCATCCTGCATATCAGATATTTACATTGTGATTCATAACAGTAGTAACATTACAGTTATGAAGTAGCAACGAAAATAATTTTGTGGTTGGGTCACAGCATGAGGAACTGTATTTAAAGGGCCAGAAGGTTGAGAACCACTGCCTAGTTACCATCCATCACTGTAGTTACAAAATTTTTTGAGTATGGGATGAGAACTTTTAAGATTTACTCTCTCAACACTTTCAAGTATGCAATAGAGTCACCATGCTGTACATTACATCCTCATGACTTATACCTGGAGTTTGTACATGTTCATCCCCTTCATCCATTTTACCCACTTCCTTTATCCCCTACTTTGCAAGCTCAGGTTTTTTATTTTTATTTTTATTCCACACATAGAAGTGAGATCATATGGTATTTGTCTTTTTCTGACTGGCTATGCTATTTCACTTAGCATAATATAGTGGGGCCTTGACTTATGAGTGTCCTGACTAACGAGTTTTTCGACATACGAGCCGTCTCTCAGCTGATTTTTTGCTTTGAGTTGCAAGTTAAAATTCGGGTTATGAGCCAGCTTCAGATACCCCACCACTAGCTGGCTCAGCGAACATCACAATGAACGCCACAACATCAGCCCAGCATCACGTGTCTCACTCGTTCACTTTAGGCGGTTAGCTCTTAGTTGAAGCATCAGTGTTGTGCTCGCATTTGTGCTTGCAGTTATTTTGCAAAACTTCGTTTTTTCAACCATGGATCTGAAGAAAGTAAGTGCGAAGGACAGTGCTGAGAAGAAGAAGCGGATGATGTGCATTGACTTAAAGAAAGAAATTATCGAAAAACATGACCAAGGTGTGCGTGTAATCGACTTGGCGAAGCAGTACGAGCGTAGCACTTCTACGATCTGCACCATACTGAAGCAGAAGGAGTCGATACAGGCTACAAATTATTACAAAATAATTTCTAAACAGCGGACATCTATCCATGAAAATATGGAAAAGTTGCTAATGGTGTGGTTAACGGAGAAGCAGCTCGCAGGAGATACGTGATGAAGGCTATAATCTGCGAGAAGGCACGAGCTATTTATGCTGATTTGCTGCAGCAGGCCCCAGGCACTTCAGTGGACGAGGCATCGGGCGAGCGGTTTAAAGCCAGTCGGGGCTGGTTCGAAAATTTTAAAAAGAGGACCAGCATTCACTCCGCTGTCAGACATGGTGAGGCAGCGAGCGTGGATGTAAAGGAAGGTGACCTCAACGAGCTCATCCAGGAGCACTCCGAGGAACTGACAGCGCAGGGGCTAAAGGAGCCACAGACGCAGCAGCACACCAGGGTTTTGCAGGAAATAGATGACACAGAGGTGGAGGAGGAGGAGGAGGAGGAGGAGGAGGGGGAGGAGGTTAACTCTATAAGTGAGATAAAGGAAATGCTGGGAATGTGGGAGAAACTTTCAGACTTTATTCAAAAGAAACATCCAGAAAAAATTGCAACTGGGCGTGCGATGGAGCTATTTAATGACACTTGCCTAACTCAGTTCAGAAATATTCTGAAAGGGAGGATGAAACAGATCTCATTGGACAGGTTTTTCTCGAAAACTCCTGTAGATGAAAGTGATGAAAGCGTGGCGAAAAGGGCAAAAATCAGCAAATAAGATTCAGTTATTCAGTTATTCAGTTCAGCCTTTCCCCTCCAACTCCATCAGCATCTTTAAGTCGTTTGATCTCCAAGGTAAATGCTGTACATTAAACTTAATAAAACAAGTTTATTGCACTACATTCCATTGTTCAGTATTGTGTTTTTATACAATATTCGTTATTTTTAATACATTTTTCTTATTTAAAAACATTTAACAAAACAATTGCGGTGTTTTTTGGGTGTCGGGAACGGATTAATGGCATTTCAATTCATTGTAATGGTGAAAATTGATTTGACATATGAGTAATTTGAGTTACGAGCTCCGTCACGGAACGAATTAAACTAGTAAGTCAAGGCCCCACTGTACTCTCCAGGACCACCCATGTGTCATAAAAGGTAAGATTTCCTTTTTTATAATTCTTTTTTTTAATTGCTTAAGGTATTATAAAGAGTATTACATATGTCTCCTTCCCCCCACCCTTGACAATCCCCTAGCCACCCCTACCCCCCAGTGTCTTATGTCCATTGGTTATGCTTATATGCATGCATACAAGTCCTTCGGTTGATCTCTTACTGCCCCCTTCCGCCCCTCAACCCTCCCTAGACTTCCAGCTGTAGTTTGGCAGTCTGTTCGAGGCTGCTCTGCATCTGTATCTGTTTTTGTTCATCAGTTTAAAATGGTACTTATTATCCATAAATGAGTGAGATCATGTGGTATTTTTCTTTCATTGACTGGCTTATTTCACTTAGCATAATGCTCTTCAGATTTCCTTTTTTATGGCCAAAGAATATTCCATTGTGTTAATGTATCACAGCTTTTCCCATCCACTCTGCTGTTTCCAGATCTTGGCTATCCTATCTAATAAAAGAGAAACATGGTAATTAGCGTACGACCGCTACCCTTCCCATTGGCTAATCAGGGCGATATGCAAATTAACTGCCAGCCAAGATGGCGGCCGGCAGCCAGGCAGCTTAAACTGAACATGAGGCTTGCTTGCTTCAGTGACGGAGGACTGCAACGTTCCCCGCCTGCCTTGCTGGCCTCTGAGCCTGCAGTTTGAAACATAGTTACAAATATAGACGTTAAACAAAACCCCAGAAACTTGCTTTCAGCAAGCCGGGATCTCAGAGCTGGAGTTGATACAGAGTTTCGATTATAGAACCGGAACAAACCAGATACCTTCTTTCAGCAGCAGAGGCCTAAGAGCTGGAGCCTCAGAGCTAAAGCTGGCCCAGAATAAAAAAAAAAAGAAAAAAGAAAAAAAGGAGTGGTTGGGAGCTTCCGTCACCCACCAGCCTAAAAACAGCCCTCAGCCCCTCACCCAGGCTGGCCAGGCACCCCAGTGGGGACCCCCACCCTGAAGGGTGTGTGACCAGCTGCAAACAGCCATCATCCCCTCACCCAGGCTGGCCAGGCACCCCAGTGGGGACCCCCACCCTGATCCAGGACACCCTTCAGGGCAAACCAGCCAGCCCCCACCCGTGCACCAGGCCTCTATTCTATACATCAACAGGGTAATATGCCTCCCAGCACCGGGATCAGAGTGACAGGGGGCAGCGTCCAAACCCCCTGATCGCCCTGCAGCTCTGTGTGTGACAGGGGGCGGGGCCACAACCTCCCTATCTGCCCTGATCTGTTTGTGACAGGGGAAGGCGCCCCAACCCTCTGATCAGCCCTGCTCTGTGCCTGTTAGGGGGGAGCTCGCCAAACCCCTATTCACCCTGCAGCTTTGTGTGTGACAGGTTGCGGCGCCCCAACCCTCCCACCCCACGGGTCCTGCTCTGTGTGTAATGGGGTAGAGCCATAACTTCCCCATCGGCCCTGCCCTGAGTGTTACAGTGGTGGCGCCCCAACCCCCTGATTGGCCCTGCTCTGTGGGTGATAGAGGGTGGCGCCCCAACCCCCTGATCCGCCCTGCTCTGTGCGTGACAGAGGGTGGTGCCCCAACTCCCCAATCGGCCCTACCCTGAGCATGACTGAGGGTGGCATCGCAACCTCCCGATCCGCCCTGCTCTGTGCATGGCAGGGGGCAGCGCCCTAGCTCCCCAATTGGCCCTGCTTTGAGCCTGACCAGGGGCTGCACCTAGGGATTGGGCCTGCCCTCTGCCACCCGGGAGCAGGCCTAAACCAGCAGGTCGTTATCTCCCGAGGGGTCCCAGACTGCGAGAGGGCACAGGCCGGGCTGAAGGACCCCTCCTCCACACCCCCTCCCCGAGTGCACAAATTTTTGTGCACCGGGCCTCTAGTTATAAATAATGCTGCAATAAACATAGGGGTACATATATTCTTTTGAACCAGTGTTTTGTATTTCTTGGGATATATTCCTAGAAGTGAAATTGCTGGTCATAAGCCAGTTCCATTTTTAATTTTTTGAGAAAACTCCATACTGTTTTCTACAGTGGCTGCACCAGTCTGCATTCCCACAAACAATGCATGAGGGTTCCCTTTTCTCCACATTCTCCCAGCAGTTGTTTGTTGATTTATTGATGATAGCCATTCTGACAAGTGGTAGGTGATATCTCATGTTTTTAATTTACATCTCTTTGATGATCAGTGACATTGAGCATTTTTTCATGTCTATTTTCTGCCCAATTTTTAATCATGTTTGTTTTGCTCTTGAGTTGTATGAATTCTTTATATATTTTACCTGATATATACTTTGCAAATATTTTCTCCCATAATAGGTGGTTCCCTTTTCAATTTGTTGGTGGTTTTCTTGGCTGTGTAGTCGCTGGTAGTAGCTGTAGTATATGGTATAAGATAGTGCTTCAGTTTCATTCTTTCACATATTGCTGTCTCGTTTTCCTAGCACCATTTATTGAAAAGACTACTCCTCATTGCATATTTTTGGTTTCTTCATCATATATTAAATGACCATAAGCAGATGGGTTTATTTTGGGGAACTCTATTCTGTTCCACTGATCTATGTATCTTTTTTAATGCTAGTGCCATACTGTTTTGATTACTATAGCTTTGTATTATAGTTTGAAATCAGGAAGCTCGATGCCTACAACTTTTTGCCTTTTCTCAAGATTGCTTTGCCTACCCCTGGATGTTGTGGTTCAATTGGTTGAGTTTTGTCTCATGCACTGAATGGTGGCTAATTTGATGCCCAGTCAGAGCACGTACCCAGGTTGTGGTTTTGATCCCTAGTAGAGTGATTGATCTTTCTCTCTCACATCAATGTTTCTCTCTCTCTCTCCTTCTCCCTGCCTCTCTTTCTAAAATCAATGAAAACATATTAAAAAAAAGATTGCTTTGCCTATTTGGGATCTTTTGTGGCTTTATACTAATTCTAGGATTGCTTGTTCTACTTCTGTAAAAAATTCCATTGTGATAGGGACTGAATTGTACCTACAGAAATTACCTCAATGTCTGAAAAGAGAAAAGTTGTAAAAAATTATGATATATACATGAGAGTGAATATTATGCAGTTAACTTAAAAACATTTATTAGAAATGTCATGGCCTGGTAAGCAGTAAAAACGGCTTTAATTAGGTAAAATAGACACAGTCAAGAAAAATGATGGTGGTATGCTTCTGAGTGAAACACTTAGTGGTTGGATTTCTTTCCCTTTTTTTTTTCCCCAAACCAGAGGACATTTATTCCAGCATAGGAAATATAGTCAATAATATTGTAATAACTATGTATGGTGCCAGGTAGGTACTGGAATTATTGAGGGCGGGGGGGCACTTTGTAAAGTATATGATTGTCTAATCACAATGCCTTACACCTGAAATTAATACGAAATTATACTCAATGTAAACTATAACTGAAAAAAAAATTAAAGAACTGTGAATAAGCATATAGTAGCTAATGTTGAACCAATTTACTGATCTCTTTCTCAAGGCTATTCTGTCCCGCAGTCTTCATGGAAGTTACTTTCAGCGGTTCTGGGGATCATCTGCTTAGTGCTGCTTGTGTTTGTTGGAATCTTAACTACAAAGAGTAAGTCTCTATGAGAGAAAAGAAGTCAGCTTGCTCACTGCTCATGGAAAGGAATCTCGTTATGGCTTTTTATTTCCTAAAGTAATATTCTCAGCACCATTTTGTTTTTTGTTGTTATCGTCTCTGTATTAGAGCTGATTTTAAGAACTACATCAAATTACTATGTCTTTACCTTGAACTTTCATTACTTTGTCCTTTCATTCATATGATTCCATCCACGTGAAATACCAACTCCTCTTTTTTTGCTGCTTGTTAACCTATTTCTCTTAAACTTACACCAGGACTACTTTTTCTGAGAACTCTCCTACAGGTTTTATTATCAGAATCAATTTCTCTATAATCTGTGATCTCACTGATATTATGCTAATTTTCCAATCAGACTTGTAGTATTATTATTAGATTTGTCTGTGTATCCCCTTCAATATATTGTCTTTTAGATATCTTTGTTAATGAAATTTTACTATTTGTAGTCACATAACAAATAAAGTGCTTATGCAATGGCACATTTATCTTCAGGTACGTATGACAAACCACACTGATATTTGTGATTTTGTCTTCAGAAACAGAGCCATGGTCAGGAAATCTCACCTCCCGTCAGGAAACAGACCAGATGGAACTGATTTCAGGAAATTCAGGGTTTCCCCCACTGCCAACAAAAGTTCAAGGTAATTAGGAACTAGATCACCTTTCCCGAGTTAGAAAATAAAAATATCTCTGTTTATTTATATGCATATATAATTATTAAGTATTTAAATATATTACACACATATCATGTAGTGTCAGATACCCGGAAACATATTTGCTAAAAATCCACTTAAATTTGGAAGTTGTCAATAATGCTTAATAGTAATAATTGTCCTATTAAATTACCATGGCATAAATCATGTCAGCATTATGCACATTAGTTAACAGAGCAGCAGTTTTAAATGGGTGAATATAATTGGTCATATAATTTCTGTATTGCTTCTTAACTTATTTTTTACAATTTAAACACCCACATTTCTACATATAAATGTACTAACAGGAGGCATTTAGACTGACTGTAATTCTTCTTTAGGTTGGAAATGTCACCCTTGTGAGGACAACTGGCACCAACATGGGGAAAACTGCTACTCTTTTTCCGCACAACCAAGTCCTTGGAGAAATTGTGAAGTTTATTGTACTACTCGGTCTTCAAGTTTTCTTAAACTAAATACTGAGAAAGAAATGGTAAAAACAAGTATATGTTTCTCAACTTTTAGTAAGTTTCTCCAGGAGGTATTTCTTGGCCTTTAGGCTTTGTCTGTTCTGATATCCCTGCTTCAGCCCAAGGAAAGGCACATGATACACACCAGATTATGCTGCTCCCTTTTCTTGAAACTCTTCCTCAGGACCTAGTTTAACGCCCCTAAGCCAGCGGTTCTCAACCTGTGGGTCACAACCCCTTTGGCGGTCGAACGACCCTTTCACAGGGGTCGCCTAAAACCATCCTGCATATCAGATACTTACATTACGATTCATAACAGTAACAACATTACAGTTATGAAGTAGCAACGAAAATAATTTTATGGTTGGGTCACAACATGAGGAACTGTATTTAAAGGGCCAGAAGGTTGAGAACCACTGCCCTAAGCCATATATTCCTGCAAGTTTTATTCACCTCTGAACTCTTGCCTATCTCTACAGCCTCCTAGATACCAATAACTTTTTATCATTTCCACTTCCTTACCCACTTATTTTAACACTAGAGGCCCAGTGCATCAATTTGTGCATGGGTGAGGTCTGGCTGGCCCAGCCCCAATCCGTGAATTGGGGCTGGCCAAGCCTGTTGGTAGGAGGAGACGACGGGAGGTTGGCCGGGCACACCCTGATCACAGCCCAATCAGGGCTGGGCTGGCTGTTGGGGGAGGGGGGGAGGGAGGGAGCCTCAGGCGATTGGCCAGTGGGCCCTGCCCCAGAATGGGGTGAGGGGGCCAATTGGGGGTTAGCAGCTGGGGGAGGGTCCTTAGGAGGCTGGCCAGACAGCCTCACCCCCAATTGAGGTGAGGGAGCAATCGGTGGCGGGGAGCTGGCTGGAAGGAGGGGCCTTGGGATGATTGGGGTGGTGGGGGCTTATCAGGGGTGGAGCCAGCTTTGGGGATGGGCTGTGCGTGGTGGCTGGCCGGCCCCACCCCCTATTGGGGTGCAAGGGGCATCAGGGGTGTCTGGCTGGGCAGAGGGGCCGCTGGAGGTTGGCCAGCTGGCCCACCCACTGATCAGGCCAGTTCACTGGCCACACTGGGCTTCATAGCGACTGGTCGTTCAGGTTGTTATGGTGTTCCGTTCCCTGGCTTTTTACATATATATACTAGTAGATACTCCACTTATGTACTTATTAAAGTTTAATTCAATTTTCTCACAATTTTACTGTCCTCTTCTCAACCCTTTGTAACCTCACCCTAATAAGTGCCTATTTACTTTTATGGTTTATTCTAAAATATCTATAGTATTAAAAAATTTATTTTGATCACCTGGTCCTAAAGGAGTTTCTGTTAAGTACTCTCGTTTTATCCGGTACTTTTCCTTTTGTAGCAATGGCTTACTTAATTGGTTTGCATCTTTCTTAAATTCACAAGGATCAAGTCTATTTACTGCCTTTCAATTCTCAATATGCAGCACAATGTTCACAGTACTATGAGGACTCCATAATAGTTGTTTGATGAATGAATACATTATTGGTTATTAGTGAGTTGTCAAAAAATCCCAAGAGTATTTTTTACTATAGTTATTGTTTCAGATAAAAAATAAAAATGTTTCATAATGTAAATGAAAGTTTTAATTTCTATATATATTGACAACCAATCAAAGATATCAGATTTGTTTATTTCCTGTTCTCATTCTTTCCAGGATTTTGTAAAAAATTTTTCAATGAAGCAATGTCATATTGGGGCAGGAAAGTTTTGGATCAGTTTATATTACAACTGCAGTGAACGGAAATGGGTTTGGCAAGATGGCTCAGCTTTTACCTTGGACAAGTAAGTATCTTCCTATTAGTCTATTTTTAAATATATTTTTATTGTTTTCAGAGAGGAAGGGAGAGGGACAGAGAGAAACATCAATGATGAGAGAGACTCCTTGATTGGCTGCCTCCTGCTTGCCCCACACTGGAGATTGAGCCAGCAATCCTGGTATGTGCCCTGACCGGGAATCGAACCTTTACCTCAACCACCAAGCCACACCAGCTGTGCTGTTCTGGCTGTTTTAAAACACCAGTCCCAGAATAGCAATATTACCTAATTATCTAGTGTGCATATAATTAGATGTTAAATTCCACGATGTGAAGTTTTTTATTAAACCTTAACTGATTACTCCAACTCACATAGAACTCTTAATATATTTGACCTTTAGAAATGCATAACAATGATGTTTAGTATGGTGGCTAATGATTTACACCCCAATAGAAACCAGCTGATTTTCTAGGTATTGACTTAATTTTTATTTCTCTGGACCATAATAATTTACTACATAATGTCCAAAGACACTTATGAGAGGACTATGAAGGAAAAACTATGTTCAAAATAATATTGAAATGTGATTTTCTCATTCAGTTTCATTTTTTCTTAAGAAACATTATAACATAATATATCAAAGAAGATTAAACACTGAACAAATATAAAAATTCACTTGTCAATTATGCTAGACAATTGAAGATTTGTAAACTATAAAAATATTAGTGGCCTGGTGCGTGAAATTAGTGCATGGGTCGGGGGGTGTCCCTCAGCCCGGCCTGCACCGTCTCCAATCTGGGACCCCTCGGGGGATGTCCAACTGCTGGTTCAGTGGGATTGGGCCTAAACTGGCAGTCGGACATCCCTCTCACAATCCTAGACTGCTGGCTCCCAACCGTTCACCTTTCTGCTAGCCTGATTGCCTCTAACCACTCTGCCTACCAACCTGCTTGCCTCCAACTGCCCTCCCCACTGGCCTTTTCACCCCCAACTTCCCCTGCTGCCAGCCTGAGCACCCCCAACTGCCCTCCCCTGCTGGGCCACCCTGCTGGCCTGCTCATTGCCAATGGGGCCTCCCTGCCAGCCTGCTCGCCCCCAACTACCCCCCCCTCGTGGCCTGATCAACCCCAAATGCCCCCAACTGCCGACATGCTTGCCCACAACTGCCCTCCCCGCCGGCCTGATTGACCCAAACTGCCCCCCAACTGCTGGCCTGCTTGCTCCCAACTGCCCCTCCTGCCAGCCAACTTGCCCCCAACTGCCCCCCTGCTGGCCTGCTCACCCCAACTGCCCCCCTTGCCAGCCTAATGGCCCCAACTTCCCTCTCCAAACAGTCTCATGGTCCCCAACTGCCCTTCCCTGCCAGTTTCATGGCCCTCCACTGCCCCCCTCTTGCTGGCCTGATTGTCCCCAACTGCCCTTCCCCACTGGCCTGCTTGACCACAGCTGGGCCCCCCTGCCAGCCAGCTCACCCCCACCTTATCCCCTGCTGGCCTGATCGCCCCCAAATGCCCCCCCTCTGGCCTAATTGCCCCCAACTGCCCCCCACACTGTCCTTCTTGCTTCCAATTGCCCCCCCTGCTAGCTTGCTTGCCCCCTACTGCTCCCCCTGCTGACCTGCTCACCCCCAGCTTCCCTCCACCGCAGGCCTAATCACCCCCAAATTTCCCACCTGCCAGCCTGCTCATCCCCGACTTCCTTCCCTGCCAGGCTGATCGCCCTCAACTGTACTCGCCTGCTGACCTCGTGGCCCCCAACTGCCCTCCCCTGCTGGCTTGACCTCCTTTGCCTCAGCCCCGCCACCATGGCTTTGTCTGGAAGGCCTCTCAGAAGGTTTCCTGGCCTAATTAGCATATTACCCTTTTATTAGTATAGATGACAATGTTGGCACTATTTGGGGAGGGAATATAATTATTTTTATATTAACACAAAATGTACATGTATTTAGTATTGTTACATGTAAGTGAGTGAATCTTTTTCACTATAACAGAATTAATTCTTAATATGACAAATTTGGATAGATGTATCTCAAATAACAAAATTTCTTTGGGTCTCTGGAATGATTTTTAATAGTTGAAAGGAATCCGGACACAAAATTTGAAAACTGCTCTTATAGCACCGATTTTCTTATTAAAATGCTAATGTGTAGGAGGCACTCCATTCATCCTACCATGTTATTAAGATAAATATAAAAGATTCTATTTTGTCACGCACATGGGGATAATGATCAGGACTAAAAACAATTTTAGCATCCCTCTTTCATTTCCTTGTTTTTTAAATCCTCACCAAGGAGAGAGAGAGGGAGAGAGAGAGAGAGAGAGAGAGAGAGAGAGAGAGAGAGAGAGAGAGAGAGAGAAGAGATATATCGATCAGCTGCCTCTGACCAGGAGTGAAACCTGCAAAGTTTTGGTGTCAGGCACAACACTCTAACCAACTGAGCAACACTGACCTGGGTTCCTTTACTGTGAATGAAACAAATGCCCTCTCACCAAAAGATAGAAGCTTTTTTCTTCATTAAGCAAGCACTTACGTGTTGTCACTTTTTTTTTTATTAGATTCCAGATCTCTGAAAATTTTGAGTCAGGTATAGTCAGCTTTATCATTGTATTAATGGACAAGTGTTTTGGAGTTCCTTACTCTGCCATTTTCCTTCCTTAAGAGTTGAATGGAACAAATATTATTTATTATTTACATATGAATAAATCTGCCAAAGAAATGTATGTTCCTTTATATTTCAATTAATGCATAGTAACCTTTAAGAATAGAATTGATCTATGAAATAAATTTTAGTAAAAATAGAAATTCTTTTCTCTTCTAGGCTCCAGTTAACAAAACCTGACATTGCCTCTAATCATTGCAAATATATAAACAATGGTCAGTTATTTGATGGAAATTGTAAAGACCCTGGTTATTGTATATGTAAGAAGACAGCATATGGAGATTAAATCACTCATATGCAGGATATAAAACCAAAAGCAACAAATGAACAAACCTGAAAAACAAACAAAATCACATAGATGTAGACAACAGTATGGTGGCTACCAGAAGGAAAGGGGGGGGGGTAGTAAAGGGCAGAGAGGGTCAAATATGTGATGGAAGAAGATTTGACTTTGGGTGGTGGGCACATAATACAATGTATTGATGATGCATCATAGAATTGTACACATGAAACCTACATAATTGTATTACTCTATGTTACCCCAATACATTGAATTAACAAAAAGAGAAAGAGGTGTAAACATTGAAACTTTTCCAGGATTATTTTTAACATTAAGAAATACTTCAAAAATAGAAATTTAATAAACCCACATATACCCTTCATCCAGCTTTAAGTGTATTTAATTTTTAAATGTATTGTGTTTGAAAGTTTTAAAAGGCTTATTAGCTTAATATTTGTGAATATTTAATAAAATCATAGTTTAAAATTTAGTTTTACCATAAGTATTATTAACAGTTTATTAAACTTAAAAATGAATTTATTCATCACTCAATAATTTAAAAATAAATGAAACATTGTTACAGAAGATAAATATTGAATTGTTAGTTTTTATTTGCTGCAAGTATAAGGTTTACGGCCTGTCAGATGAAAAAATATATAATAAATATTGGTGGCATTTTCTTCTGGAAGTTTTCTTCATGAAGAAAGTCAGAGAATAGCGTTTTTATTTTGAAATCCTTTATATTTTATAAATAACAAACTCTTCACACAATCCTCTGCATGCAGATGTATGGGTTTGGAGTTAAACAGTTTTTGTGTAACCTTTAAAACTTGAGCCGTAAACTGCACAGTAAATTGTCAACTATTGTTATTCTAGATTAGAGAGAAAAACAAATTACATGTATGATTACATTAATGCAGAAAAAAATTAAATACTACTTACTTAAATATAGGTACTGAAATAATATCACGGTAGCAGATTTAAGGAAGATGCCTGGCCTTTTTATTTATAGATAAGAGAAATATAGCCAACTCAGATAATAAAAGTAAAAATTGCATTCTATTATAAATTAGGTGCTACTACTTTTATATACTGGAAATTAGTCAATGTAGAAAGTCTGGAATCTTTTTATATGTGTACCCATCCTATATAATAAAAGCCTAATATGCTAAGTGTCTGGTTGTCCAGTCAGCCATTCAACCAATCAAAGCGTAATATGCTAATGATATGCTAAGCCACTCAACCGCTCGCTATGACGTGCACTGACCACCAGGGGGCAGATGCTCTAACCGGTAGGTCAGCTTGCTGCTGGGGTCAGGCTGATTGGGACTGAGCAAGACAGGTCAGACACACCCTGCAGTCCTCTTGGAGTCTCTCCCCAGCTGGCCAACCTCCTGCTTCCCTCCCTGACCCTGATTGTGCACCACTGGGGTCCTTCAGCCTGACCTGCACCCTCTTGTAATCCGGAACCCTTGGGGATGTTGCAGAGCCAGTTTCAGCCCTATCCCACAGGCCAGGCTGAGAAACTTCTCTGGTGCACAAATTTGTGCAGTGAGCGTCTAGTGTGAAATAAAAGCTTTAACATGTTTTTAAAGAATTATTTGGTTAGAAATAAATTCAGAATTTCTTGTCATGTTTTGTGAAAAATGTACAATATTCTTCAGATATATGCAATTTTACTTTAAAAAATTTAATTTTTTTTAATTTAAAAATTATAAATTTTTGGAGGAAACTAAGATGGCGGCATAGATAAACACCGGGAAATTGCTGCTTCCCACAACAATCGATAAATGCATCAAAAACACAAGGTGGACATCATCCAGAACTACAGGAGGGCTGGCTGAGTGTAAATTCTACAACTAGAAGGAAAGAAAAGCACACTGCGAGCGGGAGGAGCTGCGGAGGTGGAGTGCGGAGGTGCGGGGGCTCGCGCGCGGAAAGGGTCTGGCACCTGAGGACGCGGCTGTCTTTTTGAATCCGGAGGGAGACGCAAGCTCCCGACGGCTCTGAAATCCGGTTCCGGGAAGTCTCTGGGGACCCAGGACTCATACGGGGAGATACTGTACTCTCTGGCAGCGGGCGAGCTTGAGAGCGGCTTTCCCTCAGAGGTGCTTGCAGCCGTTGCCGGGACACTGGGACTCGGGACTCCTTCGGGCAGGGCTGAGGCTCCGCCATAGCTGCTTTCTCTGCCCTTTGATTCCTTGAGACCCCGCCCCGCCCAGGCTGCGGCAGAGGCTTTTGCATATGAATGCCCCGGCCATTTGCAACCTGTAATTACCTAACTGCAGCCGGGCCAGATAGACCCAGAGCTTCCAAGAGAAGGCCCAAGGCCCCACAGCGGCTTGCAATGCTACACAGCTGAGCATCATCAGGGCACTTCCAAACTCCAAAAAAAAGGAAGGGGAATCTGCAGTTCTCTTCGTAGTTCCTGCTGTGTAACCTCAGGCAGAGGCTAAATTAGCACCTCCTTAGATCCAAGAGCCACTGTACCCAGTGGTCAGAGGGGAACCATCCAGATCACAACTCCTCAGATCCATAAGGGACACACTCAGGGAGCAGACTCAGTGAGCACCAAAGCCCCACTGAAGCAAGTCTTGCCCCAGAAGGGTGTCTTCAGCACAGAAGTTCTCCCACTGCAGACACAGCTGATTCTCGCTGCCAATTGCCCTGGAGGTCAATTCCTCCCAGTGATCCTACAACAACCAAGGCATAGCTACAACAAGACTGTGCACAAAGCCCACGAGGGGTGCACCAAGAGTGTCCACCTCAGGTAACTGGGGAGGCTGAGCCACTGGGCCCTACAGGACACCTAGCACACAAAGCCACTCTATCAACACAGGGAAGCAGCCAAAATGCAGAGACAAAGAAACAGGTCACAAATGGCAGAAATGGAGGAAGGCAAACGACTGGATATAGAGTTCAAGGCCACATTTATAAGGTTTTTCAAGAATTTTATGGAAACCGCCGATAAATTTAATGAGTCCCTCAATAAGTATAGTGAGACCATGGAGGACATGAAAAAGGACTAACTAGAAATTAAGCATACACTGACTGAAATAAAGAATAATCTACGGAGATCCAACAGCAGACAAGAGGATCCCAAAAATCAAGTCAAAGATTTGAAATACAAAAAAACAAAAAATACCCAACTGAAAAAGAAAAAAGAAAAGAGATTCCAAAAATATGAAGATAGTGTAAGGAGCCTCTGGGACAACTTCAAGCCTACCAACATCAGAATTATAGGGGTACCAGAAGGAGAGAGAGGGCAAGAAATTGAAAACCTATTTGAAGAAATAATGACAGAAAACTTCCCCCACCTGGTGAAAGAAATAGACTTCCAAGTCCAGGAAGCGTAGAGAACCCCAAACAAAAGGAATCCAAAGAGGACCACACCAAGACACATCATAATTAAAATGCCAAGAGCAAAAGACAAAGAGAGAATCTTAAAAGCAGCAAGAGAAAGAAACTCAGTTACCTACAAGGGAGTACCCATACGACTGTCAGCTGATTTCTCAACAGAAACCATGCAGGCCAGAAGGGAGTGGCAAGAAATATTCAAAGTGATGAATAGCATGAACCTGCAACCAAGATTACTTTATCCAGCAAAGCTATCATTCAGAATAGAAGGTCAGAGAAAGAGCTTCACGGATAAGAAAAAGCTAAAGGAGTTCATCACCACCAAACCAGCATTATATGAAATGCTGAAAGGTATTCTTTAAGAAGAGGAAGAAGAAAAAGGAAGTCTTACCATTTGCTACAGCATGGATGGAACTGGAGAGCGGATAAATACCACATGATCTCACTCATTTGTGGAATATAATGAACAACATAAACTGATGAACAAGGACTGATCCAGATATGGAGAGGCATTGATTGGACTGTCGGGCTTTGGAGGGAAGGTAGGGGAGGGTGGGGGTAAGGGGGAAAGATCAACCAAAGGACTTACATGCAGGCATATAGCCCTAACCAATGGACATGGACAACGGGGGGCGGGGGGGGTTGAGGGCATGAGCGGGGGGGAGGGGGGGGTAGAGGGTAACGTGGTAATATCTTAATCAATAAAAATATATTAAAAAAAATTATAAATTTTTATTATAAAATCCTCCAGTATATACACACATACATAAGGGTGTGTATGTATGTATGTGGTTAGGCATAATTATACATGTATATCTATTTAACTCAAGAATTTGAGTATTTTTGAGTTATATAAGTAATGTAATAAATTCTGATTTGTTTTCTGCCAGGAACAGGTAGGAAAGATAAGGCTGAGGAAAGAATGATGATTCTACTTTCATACGAAATTGACACCAATAAAGGACTGTGGCCTGATTATATGTATACATATTATAAAGGAAGAGATCATTATTTCTGTCTACACAGAAACAACCAGCCACTATAAGAGAAAAAAAAGAAGATATATTTTGTAACAGCTATTAGTTGGTCTCAATCTATGCACATTAGAAACTCATTCTTTCTAATCTAACTCTTCATGTGTTTCTTTAATTTCTGTGTTTGTTTTCCTATGCCATTCTCATCACATTTCTGACAGAATATGGATTACATGGACTTTACTTATTCATTCATAATTATATTCTAACTAAAGTGTGAAGCTTTTAAAAGAGTTATGGTCTATTGATCTCTGTAGTTATCTCTGCATAGTTTATGGAAATCGAGTAGCACTCAGTCAGTATTTGTTACATTCATAACCACAAGTTTAGCATGCTAGTTGTTTTATTTAGAAACTGAACTTTTATACTTGCAGAGTGGATAAAGTGAGGTAATATGATACAAAATCTTATTAGTATTCCCAGAGAACAAACTCTTTTTTGTCAAAAGTGACATCTCATCCATACAGATCAATTCTAAGTTATCCAGGGACACATACAAAATTTCAGAAATAGGACGAGAGGTACGGATAAATGGAAAAGACTGACAGATCTCAAAGGGCAAGAAGGTTGGGAGGATGGGAAGATATCAACCAAAGAATATATATGCAGTGGGGACTTGACTTACGAGTGTCCCGACTAATGAGTTTTTTGAGATACGAGCCATCTCTTGGCCGATTTTTTGCTTTGAGTTGCGAGCTAAAATTCGGGTTATGAGCCAGCTTCAGATACCCCACCGCTAGTTGGCGCAGCGAACGTCACAGTGAACGCCACAACATCAGCCCAGCTTCACGTGTCTCACTCATTCACTTTTTGATTTGACATACGAGTAATTAGAGTTACAAGCTCCATCGCAGAATGAATTAAACTCGTAAGTCAAGGCCCCACTGTACATACTAGAGGGAGGCCCGGTGCACGCAATTCATGCACGGGGATTGGGGGAGTCCCTCAGTTCGGCCTGCACCCTCTTGCAATC